ATTTTGTCCTCTGCATGAAAACATCCATGCAAGATAGCAGAAGGAAAAATCAGAGAAAGTAAATGTCATAAAACACAATAGTACAGCTTACTAATGTGCGCAGCTCACCATGCCCCAATGCCTTCTGATTTGTCAGCAAGTCTTGAAAGTCCAAAATCTGCAATCTTTGGTACCATGTCATCGCCAATTAGTATATTCGAAAGTTTGAGATCCATGTGAATAATACGGTTTCCCTGGTGAACAACGTTTTTAAGGCATCGCTTTGGCGTTGCCTAATCGGCAAGGCGCTACAGGTGGGACGCCTTGGCGGACGACTTGCCTCAGATTGGTATGGCGTCCGCCTTACTGCCATGGCGTCCGGAAGTCGTCGTCAATTTGGCGTCCGATTCGTCGAAATCGAGCAAGATGGGCGCCATACGGGGATGGCCACGGTAGGAAAACACCGGCGCGGGAGAAAGGACGGGGAAAGCATCGCGCACGCGGGAGATTAGGCGCGCGGGGAGAGAGGAGCGTAGGAGAAATCAGAGAGCAGAGAGAGGAGCGCTTGCAGGGAAGAACCTGCTCGCCCGCCCGAACGCGTTCGCCCGCGCCGCCGGTAGAAGCTGCTGCCGCCGAGGCTCCGCCTCCCCTCCCCCCCTGTTCCCCATCCGCGCGAGGAGCAGCCGCCGGCGGGCTGCTGTTTCCCCATCTCCTCTTCTGGTCCTCCATTGAGCAGGGCGCCTGGTGCGCGCCGGGCATCGCGAGGATCCGGCGGAGCGCCGTGGCCGGGGACTCCCCCGAGCGGATGCCGCGGGAGGACTCCTCCACGGCGAAGTAGGGGTAGCGCGCGGCCATCCCGGCGGTGGTGGCGGAGGAAGCGGAAGCGCGGCGAGCGGAGGGTGGAGGCTGGAGAGGAATGGGATCGGAAAGGGGAGTGTGTGGTGTGCTGTGGTGGTGTGAGTGTGACTGACTTGGCGTCTACTGCACTTGAGGGCTGCTGCGTCAACCTAGAAGTGAGTCGAGGGTGGGTCACGTCTATTCCGTGAGATTGTGACTCGCAAAGTTGCATGGCTTTTTCGGTTGGACAACACCAAGGTATGACATGCTTCCAGTTCTCTGGTCTATACCACTGTTGGATGGCTGTAAGGCGTTGCCTCGCCTTACACCTTACTGCTTTAGCGTAAGGCAGTAGTTGGTCGCCTCGCCTCACTTTACTGCCTTAAAAACATTGCTGGTGAAGATACTTCAAACCCTCGCAAATTCCCAAAATTATTGGATATCGTATACGCCATTCATGTCCTCGTAGCTCATCTGTACAGCAAAAGAACAAATAATAGTAGGAGGACTAGGGAAGCACGTAACTCGAAAGTGTATATGGCATAGAAAAGGGTGGGTCATTTTGATCTGTACAGTCAGCCCCTTATATATAATTAAGAACTGACATAAAAGAAAATGAGGGGAAATATAAGAGCAAGAAACAAAGGAACCCAATGTATCATCGTACCAGTAAGGTGTTGCTCAAGGCTTCCATTACTAACATATTCGAAACAGAGCAATCTTTCCCGATGCTCCGCCATAACTAGTTTTCGTTCAAATTCCAAAATTCGTCCCACAGTATCAAAACAATAACCTAGAATCGGTAAAACATTTGGGTGTTTAACCAACATCATGAATTCAACCTCCGGGTAAATCATCCTTTCTTTGATTGTGTGGCTCTGAAGCCTCTTAACAGTCATAATCCTGTCGCCGAGGATCCCCTGCAGTTTAATTGCTTAACAGCACTTAGATAGAGTTTGGACATGCAGTAAGAAAATTTGAAGCACAGATCAAACCAAGACTAAAGTTAAACTTGAAGACCTTCCCACATGGACCGCTACCAATCATTCTCTCATCAGAGAAATTTTGCGTGATACGCTCTAGAAGTGATAAGGGAAAACAATGTGGCTTATGGCTTCCGTCAAGTATGCGCTCCAGGACTTCCATTGCTCTGTAGGATATTGAAATTAAAGAAGGGAATAAGTAGTAAGAATCTATTGATATATAAACGTAAATGAAGTAGATTTTTGTTATCACTAGTTCACTACTCCCTCCGTCGTGAAATATAGTGTATTGTGACTTCTAAAATTTATACTGAAATATAATGCATTTTATATAACGACTATGCCTAGTTTTGGCAAAGTTTGTTAAAAATGAAACCATGATTTGAGGAGAAACTCCTTAATTGGAACAATCAATAGGTACATGTGTCATTTAAGTGTTCCTTTAAGTTGTCTTAAACTTTTTAGAATGCACTATATTACAGGACGGATGGAGTAGCATATAAGTAATTCTTCATTTAAAAAATCCGTAAAAGATATTGTGATATGGAAGGACTCATCTATATGTTTCACATATAATTAAATAGATATCTCATGGAAAGGGAAAAATGGTATATATTTTTTAGAAAGAGTGACAAGAGATTTGTCTGTGTATATATTAGATCAGGAAAAAACAAAAAGTTTCAAAAATTATAGGACTCGTCCCTCCGGTTCTGCTTGCGAAAACCTGCCACTATGCCTAACCAGACAACTAGCAGAAAAAAGAATAACTGCAGAACCAGGGAGATCACTGAAAGCAACCAAAGAAACACGGTACTGGAAAAAACGACTATAGAAAAGGCAAGAAAAAACAACTAAACACCAGATAACTATAGTTGTTGGACTATAGTGAGAATTATACTTGTGGCCATTAAACTTAAAAATCCAGATAACTATAGCTCTCGAACAAATGTGACAAAACATTTTTAAGCTGCCATCGAATTCAACCTGATTTTAGATGGACATGTGGCAATAGGATCCAACTATCACTGGACACAAAAGAGCAACCTTAAAGAGAGCTCCTAAAGCGAAAGTATATGGCTCTTGATGGCTACAACTATGTACTTTGTAATTCAGCAACTGAAGAAAGTCAGGTACATCTCTTCTTGATGTGTCCTTTTGCCACAGCCTACTGAAACACTCTAGGGCTTGCACCTCATCTCCACAGTGATCCCTTTGCCACCCTTTCATCCTTCAGGGAACAGCTACACTTGCCTTCCTTTATGGAAATCTTGGTTACAATGTGTTGGTCAATTTGGTCTGTTAGGAATGACAAGATCTTCAGGAATGTTCCACCAATAGTGGCTTGGTGCAGGAACATTTTCAGGAAAGAATTTGCTCACGTTACGCTGAGAGCAAAACCTAAATATCAACCCTCAATTAGTCAATGGCTAGAAGCTTATGTGTAATCTTTTTAATCTTCTTTGTTTCCTGACTTGTTTTCTCGTTGTGCTTGTTGTCTTTTATTTTAATAAATCTCCAGTAGGGGGGAACCCCTCCTGTTCCAAGTCTGGAAGACTGCGAATCTCCACTGTCACTTCCACCTGCTGCTGTTTGTACAAGATCTTGTAGTACTGTACATCTTGCAGAATCATGATTAGGGTGTCCCCAACAGTCATCGACGTCGCTGGCTGAAGGCTTGGACTGATGTGGAGGAGAGAGAACAGACGTACCCAGTGCAGAGAGCTCCCGCTCTGTGCGGGGTCTGGAAAAGGGTGTCAGTGGCAAGCCTTACCCTTGCCTGTGCAATGCGAGGAGACCGCAACTCGAACCCGAGACCTTCCGGTCACAGACGGTAAGACTCTACACAAGGCCCACCCTTTGGAGGAGAGAGAACAGGCAAAAGGTAAATCTCTACCGATTTGTTCGATGCTAGCGCGGAGCAGGTGGAAATGAATACGTGATGGCTGCATGCAACTTTTTTACCCTGGCAGCCAACTGGAAGCCACTGGTGGAGAAAAACAATTTTATTAATTAATCCTGACGCGTGGGTCAACGTCTGCTCATGTCCGTGTCAGCTGTCGAAATTGACGACACCACTGAGGACACCCTTAGTGGGTTATATCTGGGACTTTTCGGCCTTTCGTGCTCCAAAGCATGTAAAACTCTTATTGGGCATATGCCAACCCATCCAGTGTCTGGAAATCTTCTTTGCAGCTTAAACACAAAGTCTTTTATTGGTTGCTCCTCAAAGACAGACTAAGTACAAGAGCTTTACTCAGGCATAAAAATACAGCACTACAATCCCATCACTATGTTCTCTGCCCCTACAGTCCGTGACGGCAAAGGGGCAAGGGCCTTGATATGCCTGATGAGGTCTGGGTTGGCGTGTACACTTCTACCACCTAAAATCTATGAACACAAATCATCCAGTTAACCGCATAACAATTTGTACATTCCGTTGCAAAGTATGGGCACATTTGCTAGTAGAGCCTAAAAGAAACTAAGACAGAAATATTGAAGCGCTGAAATACATTTTGACAAGCCCTATATCAGGTGCTTCATATTATTCAAAACTTATGCATATGTTTCATGTTGCTGTCGATCAAAACAAGCAATTGCGTACCTGGAATCTTTGGAATGATGGTGCGTGGACAGTTCCATGGATCGTTGGACCACCTACAATTCAGAACTTAAAAATTACTCATAACAGCTTTTGCTACATGAGACAATATATGCAGTAAATGATGGCTTTATCCATCACAAAAAACATGCCATGCTTATTGGCCTATCACTATGGATTGCTTTAAAATAAGCTGAGATGCCAACATCACTGTTGGCTCGTGACATAAACCAACTATAGCAATTATCATTGTTAGTTCAAGACAAACTAACAAGTTTGCATATCATCTTTCAAAACTCTTTAACTTTAAACAAACTTCATATAGGAATTATAGCTAACAATGAGAATTATAACCATCTAGTTGACACTTTTTCATCAAACATATTTAGATACTCAAATATTTATTCAAAGTTTTGGACAAAATGATCAAAGGGAAAAATATCCAATTCTAGAAGCAATCAGCTTCAGTGAGGTACAGGCAGCTATTGCTTTGTGCGGGGGGGCTACAGAAACCTCATTCACATGTATTTACGTGAAAAATCACAAGATTTGCGACTAGGGGTTCCCCGATTATAAATATTATTTCGAATTTTATTGACTGATTATCCCTGACATCCAAAAAAAATAACTGTTATGAACACTATCAGTGATGTTGGTGATAGTAATAATCATTCTTTATACTTTATATAACACCTGCGCCAAAATTATATTTTATGGTCCATCGCATGCAATATGGTGCATGCTTGTAAATACATTGTTAGGGTATATATGGTAAAAGATCCCGGTTGTTATTGGTAGAATAAGATTTGTTAGGATTCATTGATTGTCATCTTAGCATATACTCATCTCTCCGTTCTAAATTCTAAGTCATTTTGGCTTTTATAGGTGTATAGCAAAAGTTATATGTACCTAAAAAACTAAAACAACTTATTAGAACTGAGGGAATATTATTTTTCTAATTATGTTAGGGCTAAATTTGGTTCTTAGGGGATTTGCTTTCTCCTTGTCTATGATCCCACTCCAACAGTATCTCTTGTCACAGACTGTTGTGGTTGTATGCCCTAACTTATTGAAGCAGGGCACATTAGATTTTTGTTGCTCTAGAGCATCTCTCTAACAATGATCAAACGAGGGGTAGTGAAGCGTATTGGGGATGGGATGTCAACAAGAATATGGAGGGATAATTCGTTACAAGGCCATGTAACATGAAGCCAATGGGTAGTACTCGAGTGTGCAGAATTAAATGGGAGTCATTTGATTGATCAACGCACAACAATTATTCTTGGGATGACTCTTACTATAGGAGTACTTTTACTTGTGTGATATTGCTGAAATTTGAAAAATCAAGCTATCTATGATTGTAGAAAGGTATGGGAATTACACCACACACCCAATGTGGGGGTGCCTGTCATATATATAGCCGTAGTCAACATGTGGTACAAGGAAGGTACTACAACACAAGGAAGCTAGGCTATGATTTATCCTGATGGATCCTATCCTAATATACAAGTGATCCTGATGGATCCTTTCCTAATACAAATGATCCTAATGGATCCTTTCCTAATAATGATGCCTTGCAGTGACGTGGTAGCATGGAATTTTGAGAATTCGGGGATGTTTTCCGTTAAGAGTGCATACCGTTTGGCTGTGAGAATTGTCAATGGACAAGGAGAGCTGGGGAGCAGTATGAGGCGACAGGGGGATATAGAAGATATGGCAGCTCATCCTGACAACCTTCGTGCGCATGTTCCACATCATGCGCTTTAGCCAACGGGCAACACTATTACGTGTGGGAGAGGGCCCATGCCACCGGCGCAGGCCTGGAGGCTGGAGGTGGATGAAACCTTGTGAGGTGAGAGAGTAAGGAGAGGCCTGCAGATGAGCACAATGGCACACTGATGAGGCGCATCAGGATGTTAGTAGGGAGGAGAGAGGAGAGGGATAGATAAACATGAGGAGAGAGGGAAGAAGAAATGAGTTTCTACTATATGGACCCACATGTTTGACTTACATATGCTAGATTGTTGCATCAATCTTGGGGTTGTAGCGTGGGGTGTGGCTGCTTTGGACCGGCATTGGTGTTAATTAATTAGATTAGGATCTTTGATCTGCAATTTCATAGTTTGGGGAACAGGACGAGAATCGTGTAATAGGTTAGGGAGAGTCACTATGTGGACCATATGCCAAGTTCCACACTGGACTGCCGCGCCAACTCTAGGTTCGTGGCATGTCTGCTTTTGACCAAGATTGAGGTTATGGGGTAATTAGATAGATTAGGGGTGTAGAACTGTAATTTTATAGTTTAGGGACCTGAATGAGAATTATGTAACATAGTTTAGGAACCACTCATAAGTATAAATTACTCTTTTTGACTATATACTGCTGGTTACGTTTACTATTGGTTTGTAACCCACCTACAATTTCCAGATGGATCTGATGACTCTTGTAATCAAGGAAAATTTCAGGCTGCTTTAAATACTTTTTGGCAAAGAATTTAGAAATCAAAAGCATGCTTACCTGAGACGATATACCTGGTGATCCCATCTCAACACTTAAATTTGCTAGATCCTTTTGGTGCTCCTCGTGTAATAGTGGTGTGTCGTCAAAAACAACTGTTAAATTCACCTCGTCAACCACTTTATCCACCTCATCAGTTTTTCTCTGAGAATTACCCCCCTCGTCATTGAACATATCATCAGTTACATCCACAGCTGTAAGACTTGCGTGAGCTCTGGTGCTCTGCACGGTTAACTCCTCCTCGCAGTGATTATGTAGCGGTGTCATCTCCTGCGCCGACAATGTTATAGTGGCTCTACACTTGGATCGTGGTGCAGCAATACCTTTATTTGGCTGTATGGAGAACGGGAGTAGACTTGTCGTTGCAATCCTAAAGGCCATGTAATAATCTGTATCATTTGTCAGCTCAATTGAGCATGATACCTGCTTCTCGTTGGCAAGAGGAAAATACAACTCAAGCGGCTCAATGCCAAGCATGTCATCCGAGCTGGAGATTATTATCTGCGAGTGAACAGACAGCTGCGTTACTGCAACTTGCAGACGACTTGCAGATTATCCGGGTTTTTTTTTCTCGAACACGCAGCTGAGTTGTATATCATATATTAAATAATATTAAGAAGAGATATTATTGGCTTTTGTTGAGACATATGAGCTTACCTTCTCTAATGAAGATTCTCTAATTTGATCATCCCAGCTATCTAGTTTGTTGAGCTCATGGACAATGTCCCATATAAATGGTCTATTTATTGGGGTTTGTTCCATGCAGCTCACCGCCAACTCGAGGCATTTTTTCACTTGTTGGTACCATATAAGTGGTATATGCTTTGATGATTTACTCCACCTATGCCTCCATCTTCGAAGTACCTACCATTTAGATCAAGGTAATCTTTGATTGCCTGGCACTGAAATATTTAATCCAAATTGTGCATATATGCTTGAAATGAAGTCAACGATTCCCTTCAATTCTTGCGAAAATATATCTATTTGCTTCAAAATAATGTATATGACAGTTTTTTTCCTTCTCTGAAACAATGTCCAATATGATACGATATGTGGTTTGGGACACAGTTTAAAATTTTCAGAAACATACGATAGAGTTTGCTCGTGAAGTAATTAACACCACACAAATAAATAATCGTGCACTTGGTGGATGCTGAACAAGGATGAATTAGTTTTAGTTTTTTTAGTTCTCTTTTTTTGTCAGGGCATGCAAGTGCGCTTTAATTAATTATTTTCTTTTTCACAGGTATAATAATTATCATTAATTTAAAATTGTTTTTCTGATATGTTTAAAAGTGTGAGCAATAATGTTGATCGGACTCACCAAATAAGCGAGTTTAAATCTTTTCCTTCCATTAATGAGAAAGAGAACGTCTAAGTATTTATTAACTTTGTCAATGAAAGAGTGTGGTTTTAGTTTTGCCCAAAGTCAAACTATTTTAAATTTGACCAAGTTTACATAAAAGATTTTCTACATTTATGACACCAAATATGTTTACTATAAAAAATATATTCCTTGAGAAATCTAATGGTATTATTTGGTATAATAAATAGTGATATTTTTAATAAATTTGTTCAAACTTAAGATTGTTCGGACTACGATCTCATCTACTGGCTTGACCCCCCAAGTCATGTAAACTTTTTTTTTCTCGAACACGCAGGAGAGCTGCGTTTCATTATATTAAGAAGAAAAAACGAGTGGGTTTAGAAACCCCATACAGCCACACACCTACACACACCCTTTTACATCTAATATTGTACCTCTCTCTCAAATTCAAACTTGACCCAAGACCACTAGATAGGAACTCACACATTGGCTGGCTCTAGAGCAAGGAGATTGGATATTCCCCGAGCTCCGGCCAAACTCCACAGGAGAAACTCATCTTTTACTGAAACCAGAACACTATTTAGGCTCAGTTGAATCCCATCAAACACACATCGATTGCGATGATTCCAAATGGACCGAGCTCTCAGAATGATGATGGAATTGAGATTTTTTTTAGTCTGGTCATCAACCCCAGAATTAGTTCTTGCCCACCATGCATCAAAGGAGTTGTCATCAGGCTGGGGGGAGAGGTCATGCAGGCCGACCTTATGTATAATGTTGTACCATACTTGCCGGGAGAAGACACATGAGATCAATAGGTGTTCAATCGTTTCCTTAGCTTGATCACAGAACGGACAGCGTTCAGGATGGGGCAGACCTCTTTTAGCAAGACGATCTGCAGTCCAGCACCTATTGTGTGCCACTAACCACATGAAGAACTTGCATTTGCCTGGTGCCCAGCTCTTCCAGATTCTTTCCCAAGGCCCAAACTGTACAGCCCCAATAAAAAATCCCTCATATGCAGATTTAGCATAGTACACTCCTGAACTAGAGAATTGCCATATATGAGCACCATCTACTTCAGATTGCAGAGTCAAATCCGAGAGAAGGTCCCACAACTTCAAAAATTCTATCAACACGGGTACTGTAGTGGCACCCCATATGTCAAGTCATGTAAACTCCCGAGAGGCTCAATACAAATAATCCAATTCTACCCAATTCTATTCTCCTACATAGTATCACGAGTTCAAGTTCCAATCTAAGGCAGAAGACATCGCTTCCACACCGTGTACCCTTGGGAGCCGATCTCTACTAGGGCAGCGCCCTTGCTTAGGCGGTAGACCCAATTGATCTGCCACCCTTGTCGCCGTTCTAGCGTAGGCCACAACATTAGATGACATATCTTGGTGTTGTCCTCGTCATTGCTCACCACCACCGTGGCCCAGATGATCCACTAACTAGGATCGCCCTCATTCATCTCGTCACGCTATCAGACCGCGCGTCATCCCTGCGCTGCCATTCAGCCTGGGCATTCGGTTCTTCGGTTCGGTTCCTCGGTTACCTAGAAAATTTGGTTCTTGGAACTGATCGGTTCCCAAAAAAAACCAGAACCGGTCAATTCTGTTTTCGGTTCTTTCGATTCGGTTTCGGTTCCGAACCGAAACAACCGAATCTACATGCGCTTTGATTGCTGGAGGGCCACGCGCCAATGGGGAGCCGCTACTGCCGTCGCGCATTGCTGCTCACGGCCTGCCACGCGCCGATGGGGAGCCGCGCTGCCACCGTCTCGCACTGTCGTGCACGCCGCTGTCTCGCACGATGCGCCGCCGCCGAGCGAATCGCCTTCACGCAAGTAGCGGCCAGCGGGCCATCGACCTACACTTTGTCCGTGGATCGGGGAGGAGGAGGAGGACCGGGACATCTTCACCAAGGGGAGTGAGCTAGCGAGTCGCGGCGGGTTATTGGGGTTTGGGGGGATGAGGGGAATAGAGGCGACGTGATGGCCGGATGGGGTGTTGAGCCTCGTGGTGGCCCATGAGGTCGGGACTTGGCTACCCTTCTAGGGTGCATGGCTGAACTTTAGGGAGGGAGGTGAGTGAGGATTTATCGTCCAGGGTTTTTATCAAGGTAATCTTTATTTGGAAATATTTAATCCAAATTGTGCATTCTTATGGGTCTTTAGATCTATTTGTCAAAATAAGTTATGTTAGTTATTTCGGTTGTCCAATATGACGATATATGGTTTGGGAACCGAGATAACGTGAAGTAATAATTCACACAAATGGTTCGTGCACTTGGTGGATGCTGAACCGAGTGTCGCCTCGACGCATAGGCACCTTCTAGGCAAACTGATATGTTTAAAAGTGTGAGCGATAATGGCGACTACCTAAAGCCTGTAATGAGAAAGAGAACGTCTAAGTCTTTGTCAATGAAAGAGTGGGTATGCCTCAACGCCTAAGCGATGCCTCTAAAAAAAAACCATGCATTTGGTATAATAAATAGTGATATTTTTAATAAATTCGTCCATGTTGGGACTACGATCTCATCGATGGAGACACACCTTCATAGGAGTGCCTCATCCATGATTCCACTCGCATCTACATCACCATCCTATGTGCATCGACGATCGTATTGCGCTTCAGGTGCGCCACTTGTCTACACCCGGTCTTCGTCAAGTTGTTCGAGTTGTTCGTCTCTAACATCAGGCAGGAGCACAAGTCTAGATTGATCGCCTTCAAGTAGGAGCATCCACTCCTGCACTGCTTCTTCATCTAGCAAAACCTCGTGACTAACATCGTCGTCTCTTCCCCACCTACTTTGTCTTTCAGACAACAGTGGGCTACATCGACACCTTCTACCTTGCTGTTCTACACACCACAGCATCAAGGCCTCCTCTACTAGTTCCTTAGGCACTAGTGTATGGTTGGGATGACCCTCTGCCTAGTATGGAAAGGATTGGAAATATTGGTGTGTGCCTTCGTCCTCAACATGTTCCCAAGACTAGCAACCCTGGCGCGTGCTTCGTCCATGGTCCTTGACTGCACCGACTCTTCCGCTCATGTCCCATCTGCCTTGATTGCATCGCGTTTTTCATCTATGTCCTCGACAACCCTAACTACGTCGAACTTAGCATCACCCTCTTTCACGGTGACTGCCTCAACATATCTCTGTCATTACCTTAGCACCTCTTTTGTGCTGTAGCTTCGTGTGCAACCGCCTTGATATCGCCAACCCAACCATGACTAGGTCAACCATAGCTATCTCCAGCATGGCATCTTCGACCACGACTGCTTCACCCTCACTCTTGGCTGCCTACATTGGCATCAGACTGCGGGAGGGGTGTTGTTGGATCGTCGGCTTCCACCTTCGAGTTCTTCTCCAGTCTCACTGTGGAGCTTCCGATCTAACTGTATGGGGTACGGTGTTACAGTATATCACAACTAGGATAGAGTTAGTTAGGATCACAATCCGGTGTACCGGCTTGACCACCAAGTCACGTAAACTCTCTCTATATATATAAATATATACCGCCCGAGAGTCTCAATGCAAATCATCCAATTCCACACAACTCTATTCTCCTACAACTAGAGTTGCATTCTTTGGGCCAGATGTAGTATATTTTATTCATTTTATTTAATGACTACCATTAACATTTGATTTTCTCTGTATCAGAATTACCTAAGGAGTTTTTTTTTACCTAGACACATAGGTACGATCTATTCGACTGGTTGATAGTCATCAATGTGTCTTCGTTTGTGTAAAACTTTAGCAAGTTGTTTGCAATTTGTTTTTACAGGAGTCAGAAGTGGTTTTAAGATGGTTGCATCAACTCGATATGATGTAACTAAATTGTTTTTATGGAAAACATATGCTTGGTGTAAAAAAACAACTATACTTTTGCAACGTGGGATAAGTCGCTCTTACTTTAGTTGTATTCGGCATCTGCCTACTTCCTGTCACCAACTCTATCATTATGACACCTAAACTATAAATGTCTGACTTCCATGACCTTTTGCCATTTACAATATACTCTGGAGCACAATATCCTCTGCATGAAGACACCATAAAAGACATTAAGTCATATAAGATCTAGGGAGTAAATCTCAGAAAAGAAGTATATTGTAGATGTATTCTCCTACAACTTGAGTTGCATTCTTTGGGCCAGATGTAGTATAATTCATTTTATTTAATGAGTACCATGGAAAATTTGATTTTCTCTGTAGTATGAATTAGAAAAGTTGAAAATTTTTTGGTTAAACAAGTATAAAATATACCTGGTTGATTTTATCTTTATCTCTCTTGAAACAACTATGGAAGAGCTTTTATTCCACCAATCGATTGATGTAACTAAATTGTTTTATGGAAAACAAAAGCAAAAAAAAAACAACTATAACTTTCAAAATGGGATAAATACTTACTTTGGTTGTAAGCATCT